GCCCGCAGGCTTCTCAGTAGGTTTGGTGTGGACAAGATCTATGAAGGCCAAGTGGAGGTGACTGGAGATGAATACAGTGTGGAAAGCATTGATGGTCAGCCTGGTGCCTTCACTTGCTATTTGGATGCAGGTCTTGTCCTGACTACAACTGGCAATAAAGTTTTGGGGCCCTGAAGGGAGTTGTGGCTGGAGGCTGTCCATTCCTCATAGCACCAAACAATTCCTGGGTTATGATTCTGAAAGGAAGGAGTTCAACGCAGAAGTACACCATAAGCACAGCATGGGTCAGAACGTTGCAGACGACATGTGTTCCATAATGGAGGAAGACTAAGATGCTTATAAGAAACCATTCTTTCAGTTCATAAAGAGTATCAAAACTCCAGACACGATGGAGGAGATGCATAAGAAAGCTCATGCTGCCATCAGAGAGAATTGAAGAAGAAGAGGAAGAAGAAGAAGAAGAAGAAGAAGAAGAAGAAGAAGAAGAAGAAGAAGAACCAAGGATAAGGTGACGCAACACCCAAGAGCCTTGGAAACGAATGGTGACTGGCAGGAGCCATCTCTGTGGGATGAGGAAGCCAGAGCCAGAGGATGTGGCTTAAGGAATGAATGGTGGGTGGAAAAGTGAAGGAAGGGAGCAGTCTCCTTGTCTCCTGGGGTTCCAAAGTAAAGGAGAAAGGGTGCTGGAGAGGGTCGTGCCAAGTGTCCAACGGGAGCCAAGAAGAGAGTCAATGTTGTCATTCATGGAGGGTAAAGGACTCCAGGACGGGAAGAGAATGAGGTTCTGGGCAGCCGGAGGTCCTTGAGAATCAGGAAGGAACGGGCTGTGACCATGGAAGGAGGAATTCCCATGTAAGAATTCAGGATGGATGATGCTATGAGACCCCAAAATCTGAGGAAGAGGACAGGTAGAGATCCAAAGACATGGATCAGAAAGCACATCCAAGTACTGGCTTCTCTTTTTTTTCTCAACAAGGAAAAAAAAATCACCAAAGTTTTACCTCTTCAGGAGCTCAGGAGTGGGAAGGCAACTTGAGGAGAGGGAGAAGGTGTGTCTTGCGGTGCCGCCCCTCCCCGATAGCTGTGCTTCTGATGTTCTTGGGTCTTGGACTGAGAATGTTCACACAGTGGCTGTCCTTTGCCACGGTCACCACTGTATGAGGTGGTCGTGGGTATTCCCGTTTCACACATGGGGCCAGCTGGGCCTCAAGTAGGAAGTGCCAAGTCTAGGAGGGTGCCCTAGCAATACCTGCCAAACAAATGGGCTACGTAGACTGCATTCTCCAACTCGTTACACCTATGTGTGATGCTTCTCTCAACAGAAGTTTTGCTAGTGAGTCTGTTCACATGTAGTCTTGAATCAGCAATAAGCTAAAAAAAAAAAAAAAAGTCACCATATGAAAAACACAAAAAGTGGCTGGACAAGGAAGTGCCAGGGCTACTGTATTTACTCCAAACAGAAATGCTACTTGCCTGGTTATGACTGATTGGGAAATGAGGTTTAATTGGACAAAGTCCTTGAAGCTCCTAAGTCCAGCACTTCCAGCAAGGACCTCCCCGTGTGCAGGAGCATTGGTATTGACGTGTGCTCAGTTTCTGTGCTACCGTGATTACTATCTGGATGAAAATTCCTGCCAAAACATTTCACTGAACGATTTACAATAGGCTTTCCAAGGCTCTAACTGAAGGGCAGCAGCTGATGTCAGCGTGAGCGTGCTAGCATTCACCAGTTCATCCGGCTGAATAAAAAGTAACCAACGGTGTCTTTGGGAACCCTGCAGGTTCTTCATAGTTGTAAGTCAAAATCTACTGTGTGTTCTTCTCACCATTATGCCAGCAAAAGAGAATTGTGCAAATAAAAAAAATGTCATGTAGTGTACAGATAGGACAATGGACTCCCAAGTTCCTGTGGGCAGGTATTTAACTTTCCCCAGTAGTCATTTCAGAGAACCGGACCAATGTTTGGTACACAATGTGGGGTAAAAATTGCGTGTTGAATTGAGTCGGACGGCATCAACATTACAGGTGGCTTTTTTTTTTCTCTCCTAGAGCCGAGCACAGAACTGTCCCTGGAGGACGCTGTGCGCATGAACACTCTTAATTCATTATTGAAGTTCTGGATGAATTATTAATCCTGGAGAAAAATCCAAAGCAGGAGTTGTCTGTCATTGCCGTGGGAGGAGAATGGGTAGTAACCCATTTAGGTAGTTTTCCTACATCATCACCCCCTTTCCCCTCCTCTGGTCTTAGATTTTGCTGCTCCCCGAAGCTGTGGCCGTCATTCTCGTTCTGTCCCTGACTTACGGTTTGACCTCAAGATGAGTCACTTAATCTCAGTTTAGTGCTTGTTTCCCTGTCAGTGAGAGCAGCCAAGGGGGCCTGACTGTGCAGCCAGCAAATAACCAGGCCTAAAAACTGACTGCATTACTCAGTGCCATCCATCATTTCTGTAAGGCCAACGGAAATGAATCACAGACACAAAGCCCCAGTGGGCTTCCCCAACTCCTTCCAAATGAGCCCTTTGGGGTGACTAAGTCAGTGTAGAGTGCAGTGAAGGGGAAAAGATGGGGAGCTGGTGATGACCGCCCTAAACCCAGCAGGGAAAGTCTGGCCACAGAGGGCAGGAGCAGGATAGAGAAACAACTCTGACTGTGAATAGCTTGCACCCTTGAAGAGAACCCACCAGCCTCTGCTTTTTCGTAGATAAACACGAAAGACAGCATGTGAGCTCTCCAGCCCTTGGCACTTAAATTCAATATGAGATACACACACACACACACACACACACACACACACACACACACACACACACCATAAAGCCTACAGGAGCAATGTGAAAGAGGGCCATGCAGTGTGTCTCATAGGTTGGTGAGTGATGAAGGATGAATCGCCCAAAGAGCAGAGGCTGAGGTGGGGTTCCCTTACCTTGACTCCTTGTACCCTAAGTCTGTTTTCCCCAAGGAGTAAGAAGATCCACAGAGATGAAGGCCCACATCCCTATGAGAACAATCTAGAAAGGTCCAGGGTAGATAACACACCTTCACTACAACAGAATTAAGAGAGGACCACAGAGTATGATCCATTGTCATGGATGTGGTCATAGCCCTGAGAGGGGCACAGGACAGTTGGAAACCTTGCAGACACTGCATTAGCTAACCAAGGTTTAGAACAGGGGCCCCAGCTAATCAGAGGGCAAACTTGAAATGTGTCCACATTGTCTTCCTAGGCATGTTTATATGCAGGGTTCTCCAGGCACCAAAAGAATTCCTTTGAGTCTGCATCAGCTTGCAGCTCAGCTCACAGCATTGTCTAGGTAACAGCAGGAATTGATGGGCACTTCCATTACACATAAAAGCCTCTAACATTTTATGTGCAACACTGTAAATCTTATCTGTAGCATCCAATGTGACTGATGAGACAGGTCCTCACCGCAGCAGAGTATCTCAAGAATCTCACGTGTAACAGTAGTTTAAGAATATCTTTGTTTGCTGACAGTATTTAAAGTTATGTAAGCCATAGTAGGAGTCAATAAATATGCAATATCATAAAACATTAAAATCATAAACAGTGCTTTGAGAGAAAAGGTAATTTCTCAATGTTTAAAAGGGAAAAAAAGAAAGCAATAATATACTGCATAAAAGAACAATCCAGGGGCTGGGCAGGTGTCTTAGTCACTAACATTCTTGCCACGCACACATAAGGACCTGTGTTTGACTCCCAGAACCCACATAAAAAAGCCAAGCATGGGCTGGAGAGATGGCTCAGAGGTTAAGAGCACTGACTGCTCTTCCAGAGGTCCTGAGTTCAATTCCCAGCAACCACATGGTGGCTCGCAACCATCTGTAGTAAGAACTGGTGCCCTTTTCTGGCCTGCAGTCATACATGCTGTATACATAATAAATAAATAAATCTTTAAAAAAAAAAAAAAAAGCCAAGCATGATGGCCCACTTTCTAATCCTAGCACCAATACCAAGACAGATATATCCCTGGGCCTTGCCATCCCTCCAGTGTATCCTAGTTAGGAAACTCGGGCCAGTGGAAGATCCTGTCTCCAAAACAAACAAAGAAAAAAGTGAATGGAACCTGAGGAATAACTCAGATGTGTCCTCTAGACTCCACACACCCGTGTATACACACACACACACACACACACACACACACACACACACACACACACACACACACACACACACACACACACTATTCCCACAGAGCTGTACTGAGCACCGAGAAAGCCCTTGGTGGTCTCTATCAATATTTTAAGTCTTGTAACTAGTTATCAGATTGAGACTTTTATTCCATTCATTGGTCAAGGTCCATTCAAATAAAGACTGGCTTTAGGTTCAAGTACAGTGGATAGATCCTTCAACTTCCTGTTGGAGACAATTGAGATCAGATCCAATCTAGTTACCTGCTTTTCAATTTGCTCCTCTACTGTAGGTGTTCAAGGGAAGGGAAGGGGCAATCATCTTCCGTCACCCCAAGTCACGGGGGTGGATGAGCAGATGTGGGCAGTGACTCCTTAATGGATCAGTACTATTGAATGCTGATTATCTTTAATTTTCCTTAATGTTACGCTGCTGTTCTCACTGCTTTCTCCAGTGGGGAGGCACTGGCCAGCATACCCATTTGCCTTCCTTTGGGTAACAGCACCTGAGTTTTATTTCAGGGAGCCACTTCTCCCTGGCCTTCAAGAAAGAGGTCCATGCATATGGGTGACTCTACCCACTGGGACAAGAGATCTGGTTTGGGTCAATCAGAGCGCAACACTATGCTGCATCTCTAGCCTTCCGTCTCTTCTTATGGGGACTGATCGCTGATGAATGGTTTGCTGTCTCTGTTCCATGAAACAGCAAGCCGAACAGAAGTCTCCTGAGAGAGAGAAAATGACCACGTCATCTAAGCCTCCCTTTCAGCGAAGCCTGTTTGGATTTAAATTCTACTTGGAGTTAAAAATGTTCTAATGTACATAATTCTTGTTATTTTTTTCTTCTTTCAGTTACTTACAATTAAAATTTCCAAACCCAAAGAGGAGTAAGAAGAATGGTAAATTAATGTCTGCATTTCTTCTAAATTTGCCAATTGTTAACAACTTGATACATAAACATCATCTCTATGTACCTCCTATTTATCACTATATATCGCTATATCTACCAGTCCATCTCTCTCTGTATCTATCATTTATCTGCCAGTCTGTCTGTCTGTCTGCCTATTTATCTATTCACCCTTCTCATTTTCTTTTGCTACTATGCAACACCAGTAGTATTATCATGCTAAGAAAATTCATTCAATAAATAGCTCATTTTAAAATGTTCTCAATTTTCTTTAAAGCATCTTTTTATTTCATTTAATTTTCCCTTAAGATTCATCAGTCAGATATCATTACTACATTTGGTGGGTTTTGCCTGTATGTTTGTCTGTTTTTTGTTTGTTTTTGTCTCTTTTAACTTACAACAGTGTCCTGGATTTCATTGTATTTTTCCTTTAATGGCATTTTGTGCTGGCTAATTTTATGTCAACTTAACACAAGCTAGAGTCATCTGAGAAGAAGGAACCCCAGGTGAGAAAATGCCTTTACAAGATCAGGCTGCAGGCGAGCCTGTAGAGCGTTTTCTTAATTAGTGACTGATGGGGGAGGGCCCAGTCCATTTGGTTCCATCCCTGGGCTGGAGGTTCTGGGTTCTATAAGAAAGCAAGGTGAGCAAGCCATGAGGAGCAAGTCAGTAAGCAGCACCCCTCCATGGCCTCTGCATCAGCAGCTCCTGCCTCCAGGTCCCTTCCCTGTTTGAGTTCCTGTCCTTCAGTGACAGGCTATGTATGTGGAAGCATAAGCCAAATAAAACCTTTCTTCCCCAAACTGCTTTTTGTCATGGTGTTTTATTATAGCAATAAATCAAAAAACATCAAACAAAAAATCTAGTAATCCTAACTAAGACATACTATATTCTAGTTCATATTTAGGAACCCAGACTATTTGTCTTACAAAATGTACTGCATTTCTGGATTTTTCTGATTACTTACTCAGTATTAGAACCATAATTTTGGCAAAAATTCTTCCTATGTGGCATATTATATTCAATTCTGTATCTCTCTCTCTCTCTCTCTCTCTCTCTCTCTCTCTCTCTCTCTCTCGTTTATTTTTAACACTATGAAATGGGAATCACTTCACTTGACCTATAACGATGTTTCCCATATTTGCAATTTTCCCATATTTACAACTATAAAATCAATATAATGATATTGTTTTAAATAATGTATGTTAATTTTCCTTATAATTTATTTGACTAGTCTTCTGAGGCTAGACATTAAAGTCGTTTATTAGTTTTTTTGTTATAAGTTTACCACAGTGAAAACCTCACACACGTGTTGTTTCATACATTTGCAGTTCTATGTGGGGGTTGATTCCTAGAATTGAGAGTACTGGACCAAAGTGAAATGTATATGTAGTTTTTTGTTTTTAGATACTGCCAAGCTCCCTTCCTTCTGTCGAGAACTGGCAAAATGTCTTGACACATAGTGTTCTATAGAAAGTTCACTCTTCCTGTACATTCCACACAGGTTTCCCCTGATGTCCATAAGGCCCTGCCTGCTTTTCCTGTGTCCTTTTTGGCTTCCTATCACCGGGCTCTGTGTTTGTAGAGATGCTTGGTGGGTACTGAGCAAGTGAATGAGTGCATCTATGAATGGACAAGCTATTCTTTTCCATGACGTCAGCACTCACGCTCCTGTCAGGAAACTGAGCCCCCAATCCAGTAGGAACAGATTTGAAGGCCACTGTACCAGTCAGCACAGAGGGTGTAATGCACTGACCCAGCAGGCGAGAAAAGGTAAGGTGTTATTTCGGTTTCTGAAATAGCGACTAAAACGCATTTGGTTAGCGCCCGCAGCGTGCCCACCGAGGGAGACAGACACCAAGTCTAAAGCGGACATCCTCATGCTGGTGCTGCGTACCTGTAACCCAGGCACTCAGAAGGCTCAGGCGTAAGGATGCTGAACCCCAGGCCAGGCGAAGCTACAGAGTCAATTCCAGGTCAGGCTGAACTACATAATGAGAAGTTCCCCTCCCAATAACAAAGCAAAACAAAGGTTCCCGAGCTCAAGTTTGCAGTGCGGATATGTCTGTGGGGATGTGAGACACATGTCCATAGACAATAACAAGAAAAGGCATTGCGTGGTGAATACCCAGTGGACAGTATAGACGTTTTGATGCAATCAGTTACAAAGAGGAAGAGCACACTGCACTCTGGATGTGGAAGGGCAAGAATTCAAATCAGAGAGGGCCACGGGGAAGACAGGGCATAGCTGAGCGACAGGAAGTGAACCAGGGCGGCTAGATTAGGGAGGTCATACAGGAGAGTGCCGTGCCACACATCGGAATTGGCAGTTTGAGGCCAAATTCAGAGGAAGGCCTGCTAAGAAATACAGTGGGTCACAGTTGGGCTGGTTTTAGTTTGAACAAAAGTCTCCATGCTTTCCCGCGATCCTCATGTCTTTTTCTTTGGAGTGGTCCTTCCCCACCTTGTAGGACCCCGGTGAGTCTGTGAAGACAGTCAGTCGTCCTCCCCACGGCTGAACTGCCCAGGGCCCTCTACCCCAGCCCGAGCAATCAGTCCCCATCGAATGCGCACATGGACATGGAAGAACAAAGGCCCTCCTTCCTGGAACTGCTGGGCGGGGAGCGTGTGGGTTTGGAGCAGGCAGTCCTGGCACCGACCACCTCCTGGGGAGAGCCCACATGTAGAGTGAAGCTGAGCTGAGCAAGGCAGAGTGGGATGTTGGAGGGACAGACAGAGTACTGGACACACTTTGAGCCGGTGCATCCTGCACTGGTGACCCTTCCTGGACTTGCCAGCTCTCTGGAAACCAGAAAATTCTCTTGCTGTTTCAGCTAGCTTGAGATTGCTTTCTGACACTTTCATCTAAAAGAAGCTCGAACAATACAGGAAGCTTAGACTTCACCCCACAGATCAAAGCTTCCCAATGTCTTTTCCTTTGATCACTGGTCCCACAAGTCCTTAAAAAAAAAAAAAAAAGTTGCATAGCAAATGTAGTTTGAGAATACTGCCTTCCAGAGCCTTTTTTGTAGGTCCATTAGTGTAGTAACATATTAAACACCAGAAGGTTCTCCTTGCTTGGAAGCCTTCCATTTGCCCTTCCACATCCACTGTGTCCTGTTCCCACCCTGTCCTGTGTCCTGGGAGACCTGATGCTCTAAAGCGCCAGACACCTGACCTTTGACCCTAGCTGGATTTGGATGGGCAAAGGAAGCATCCTGGAGTCGGATGAAGGGAGATTGGTTTTCCAGTATGTTCATTTGCCTGGCACTGCCCAGCCCAAGCCATTGTGGGCTGGTTGTGTCTCTCCTCTCAGGGCACAGACGCTGCTGGGCATCACCTTCCAGGCAGAGTCCCCTTTCACTCTCTGGCTCTGTGAGTGAGTGGGACAAGCCCAGAGCCATTGCACCCTCCTCTGTGGTTTCCTCGAACCCTGCCTGTCATTTACTAGCTGTTTTGAGGTTAGTCATTTGAGTGTGTTATGTTTCCTTCCAGGGCCTGTTTGAAATCATATTATCAATCCCAATTAATTCATTATCTCCTAAACCCATTAAACCTGTAATTTGTTTTAAACAGGAAAACACCTATTGGTTTTGACCACAGAAGCCTTGAAAAGGCAGTGTCTTTGTCTCAAGAGTCTAGAAGGATAAAAGTAGTGGGACAATTTTTTTTTTCTTAGCCTGTAACATTCTCCTACAAGCATCCAGGGCATCTACCGGACCACCATGTTAGGCCTCAGTTTTCAGTACCTCTGTATGGGAGGCCCTCTTCCTGCTCTTTTCCTACCCAAAGCACATTCTTTTAAAAATGGCCCAGTGTGTGCCACCATTCACCCGTCAACATTCCCCAAAGCTCTGCATTCACCCTGACCCGTCCATTCACATAGCCACTGCCATGGGACTACAGTCTCTCAATACAGCACTTAGCTGCCATTCTTTCATATGAAGTTCAAATCTTGTCATTGTAGAAGTCATTTCCTGATCATCCCAGGTAAGTCTGATTTCTCAGGTTTCTGAGGGACCAGCACTAATAACCCACTGAAGCACATGCATGTATTCTGAAATCATGGTACTATCTGGGACTACTGTCCATGTCCTAGGACTAGTCACCCTGCGTACTTCTGTCACAGAGCCTTAACAGACTTACAGGCATTGTTGGGGACTGAATTATATCCTGGTCCTCGGTCCCCCAGAATGTGACCTTATATGGAAATGAGATCATTGCAGATGGTATTAGTTAAGATGAGTTCATCCTGGAGTAAGGTAGACTCCTCATCCAATAAAATCAAAATCTTAAAAAGTGGACCTTGGCTCACAAATAACGAGAATACCATGTGCAGAGTGGAGTTCTGCTGACACAAACCAATGAGCACCAAAGACAGTTAGCAAAGCACCTGAAGCTACATGAGAGGCATGAAGCAGAGGCTCTCTCATGGCCTCAGAAGGAAGCAACCCTGCCGACACCCTAACCCAGCTTCCCGAACTTTCCGACAGTCCATTGCTGTGTCCCAAGCCACCTAGCTCTTTGTTCCGGGGCTTCCATCCAACCATTACAGACAACTCAAGGAGAAGGCCACACTGAGGAGGTTGTCCATCTAAGATCTACCACCTGAGTCTTAGGCCATTTCTGCCTAATTAATTCCCTTCTCGGAGCCTCAATGTTCTCCTCTGTAATGTGCAGATAAAAATCTACCTTGGAAAGTTGCTGTAGGGATTAAAGAAGATAACATTAAGCTATTAGGCACAGTGCCCGACACAGTTAACATGTTTAATAAATGCTAGGTCTTGTCTTTGTAATCCTCTTGTGCAAACGAGGTCAGACTAGACATGTAAAGTGCCTATCTGAGTGCCTACGGTGAAGTGGCAACAGATTGAAAATTAAACAAAAGCCAAGGGGCCTGCCTCCAATCCATAGGCCTCAGTTCCTACATTTCCCATGTCTTACCGTGCATTGTAGAAGAGAACAGTGAACACAGTGACATTGATTGAGTGG